TCATGTGCCCATCGGAGGTCCCTGGCGGCGAGTTGGCCAAGAAAAATCGGTTGAATTCTGAGGCATTACGGGCATTAGCGTGTTTGAGAATCCAACCCTCCAGACAAAAACCATGAAATCATCAATCTAGGACACATGCACACCAAATGACCAGAAACATCACTGATTCATGAGTGGAAGCATCACTGATTTAGTCCGTAGCCAATAGTAGATACTCTCCATTCTCCTTGCGTAAGTTCTATCTCCATAGCCAAAAACATCACTGGCTGGTGGTTTCAACCCTGCAAATTTTTTAACCAACCGATCTCATCCCAAAATATGAAGGAAAATAACTGGTTGGTGGTTTCAGCCCCTCTGAAAAACATGAAAGTCAGATTGTATTTCATCATCCCAACTATTGGGGGGAAATAAACCAACCAGTAGAAAATATGAAACCACCAGCCACACCATTTGGACCACTAATTTTTCCGAGCGAATTCACCATGTCTGGTGCGTCAGCCGGCCCAGCCTAAACAAGTCCGTCCGCAGCAGTCCGTTCTCTCCGCAAAGGACCTTCTGATCATGTAGCTGGGTGGCAGTTTTCTGTGTTTCTATGTGTTTCTTTGTGGTAAACTAATTAACAAAATTGGATCACTTAGGATCAAGTAGATTCGTATTAATAGATTAGTATGGATTGATATGGATTGATACGGATGTTTAACTACTGGGATCCACAGTCAACTGTGATCCCATGATTTTGCTTTTCCAAATAGTTATCCATCGATGTTATTCAGCCCATTTCAATGCTGTATTTGTGCCATGCTCACATTGGATTGATATGGATTGGGGCCTGGATTCAATGGATTCTGGTCCAGAGATGGGTACCCAACATATTGATGTCAAGCCTCATGTTCTCCCCTGTTGTCGCCAGAAACTGGGTTTCAACACGTACACGCACCTACAAATATGTATATTATGTATGTATATACGTATATTTATGTATCCTTGTCACTTTGGAAAAAAAATAAGGATATATAATTATAACACTCGGAAGTCAGAAGTGCAGGGGAACTTTCCAACAAGGCTTGTTGCCAACTGGGAAGCACATACAATATACAACCTGATGTTGACTGTCCAGCTCTGGCTGGTGCCAGGTATTTTTACGATCTGTGTGTGACCTTTCAAGTTATTGGTGGTTTTTCGCCACCCATCCAGCAAATATCAAGGTGGAAGTAAAACAAAAGATGTGAGCCATTTTTTAGCCTTCCAGCTTTGCGTCCCATCCCATATTTGGTGAAATCCCCAATCGGTGGTGAGTAAACTCGGCAAACTCCCCCCGTTGGTCCACTCTTAGCCAGTGCCAGCTCCCGTTTCCGGGCACCCCACTTCTAAGCGGTGGGGGTTCTCTGGGATGTTACCTCACAACGCGACGTACAGGCAACAAATGGTATGCAGCAGTCCACCGGTTTTTTCCAACACCATGGCTAACTCCAATTTTGGCTGTCCATAATTTTCCCCAAATCTGAGCACATACCCTCTGGTAATTTAACATAGCTATTGAAAATGGCCATTTATAGTGGATTTTCCCATGAAAAATGGTGATGTTCCATAGTTATGTTAGTTTACCAGAGGGTAGAAGAGATGGACTTTTCTCCATACATAATGGGTCAAGCTAAACAACTTGGAGACCAAGCAGCTCACAAGAGTTGTGGGGTCTCGCAACAAAAGGTCAGGAGAAATCGCGCTGTTCTGGGAAGTATTCTGGAGCCATGTTCAACATTCTTCTACCCCAAGCTAGGATTCAAATAGATTTTTGAATGCTTACAATTTAATCTGGTTGGTGGTTTGAACCCCTCTGAAAAATATGCTCGTCAGTCGGGACTATCCTTCCCAATATATGGAAAGTCATGAAAATCATGTTCCAAACCACCAACCAGTTAATTTAACATAGCTATTGAACATGGCCATCTATGTTGACTTGCCCATTTAAAATGGTGATTTTCCATAGTTATGTTAGTTTACCAGAGGGTAATTCATTCCAAAAATAGCCTAAAGATCAAGGATCCCAGGCACCCCCAAGGAACCCCCCCAGGCATCCCCAAGGCTCCCGGCTGATCAACTGATGTCTCAGTTGGGGATCGTCTGTCTCCTGGACACTGCTGTTAGGCTCCAATGGCGCTCCACTGCTCTATGGAAGTAATCCCATTTCCCCGAGACCTCCCCAAATAGTAAAACCTATGGCTAGGTCTTATTTGGGGGATATTGCAGTGGTTTAGTCATCGGAAGAAGGGATTATTGATGTGAAAAATGTTGATGAACCACTGGATCCTTGGGCTACCTTTTTTCTTGGACACACCCACATGCTAGAAGATGTTCGAAGCAATTCTTCAGTCGATCTGGGGAGGGCTTGAACATGAGATATGAATGTACAAGCTGTCTATCCGAGTCAAATATTCTAGCCTGGCCATCAATTCACTTCTCTGAACCGATGGTTTTTGTTCCATGAAAAATGCAGCTTCGACCCATCGAAAATGTACACGAATCAAAGACCTGGAGCGGACTCCTAAGTCATAGTGACTCACTGTGGCACCCCGAAATCTCCATGTTACCCTCTGGTAAATTTTCACAGTTCGACCCTGGCAGATATATAGGGGTTGGAAGACTAGCTATCGTTTCCACTCAAAATGGGTGATGTTCAGGGTCAACAAGTTCATTTACTGGAGGGTATAACTTTTGTTATTTTTTGGGGATGTTCCCATATGTTCCATCAAAAAAAAGCCTCCAGCGATGGAAAGCCAGCCGCTGGACTTTCCCTCGGAACTGGGCCTCGGGGATCAGACCATGTCTCCCACAATGGGCGTGGGTCACCTCAGTCACCGTCACCGTTGTTTTGGTCGTAGAATGGTCTGACTTCAATGGGGGGAACCCAGAAATCCGAACCTTGAAAGTTCATATTCCACTTCTTGGTTGACATAGTAGGAATAGAAGGTTCATATTCCACTTCTACCTTGAAAGTTCATATATCCGAACTTAATATCGGTATCTGGTGTTGCTGCTTCTATTCGAATTTCCCTTTTGAACCTTTTAGCCAAAAATTGGACATAAAAGGAGGTGCCAAAAGCCAATCACGGTGGCTTCTTGTTGCACCGCCCATATCAAAGACATTCCGGTCTTGGGTGGCAAGTATGCCATGTGTTTTGGAAAACAATTCTTCACATATATACATATATATATATATGTATACATATTATTATATATAGATAGATAGATCACCAACTTAAATGTGCCTCCATCAAAAGGGGGGATTGGCCATCGCTTAGGAGCTTGATGAAGAGGGTCGCTGCAAAACAAAGGCCCACGGTGCTAACGGGTGAAGAAATTTACCTTCATCACTTGACACAACCCTCAATCTTGAACGGGGACCCATATCTTCCTCCATCACCGGGGAGGTTAACAATTAACTCTTCAACCTTTGCAAATGATCCATAAACATCCGTAAACCATGCAGTAAGCATCAGTCAGCCACAGAAAAGTTGGAAATCTTCATTCTGATGGCTGTGTGGCGCACCACCAAAGTATTGGTCTCTTTGAAGATCTGCCAGCGATGGGTCACCAATGAGATGAGTCAACTCATTCCCATCATCACCCGGAGTCTGCGAAGAAGTCCAGGCTCATCTCAGATCCAGAAGAAACAGTGCTAAGAAATTTTGAGGATATCAATCCATCAATCCATGTCAATCCAATCCAAATCAGCAGAAAAACATAGAAAAACCATCATAATCATCATACATCATACAGAAACATCATCAATTGATATAGAGCAGCAGCCGCCTCTGGCCAGGTCACCTCCTAACGACATCAGGGCTGTTGGCTGAAGAGCCGGTGAAGCCATCTGCGAATGACAAAGCCGGAGCCCGTTCTTTTTGAACGGAGCCCATTCCGAATGCGCAGAAGCTGTGTGTGATTTGTGGTAGAAACTCTTAGTCTTCAGGGATCTTCAGGGTCTTTCCAAATGCTCTTCAACATTGCGCCAAAAATCCAAAAATGCTCCCGTGCCTACGATGAAGTCCTGTATAGTGCCGTGTTTCTGTGTCCAAAAAAAGAGTGCCAAACCCCACAAATCCAAAACTCAAGACAGTCCTCCATGCCATCACCACCTCAAACGAAAAACATCGAGCGGAAGTGGTTTTGTATTCACCGTTTGGTTGTTAAACCCATATGTTAATGAACCAGCAAGTGGGAAGAAGGAGATTTAAAGAATCAAACCATCTCAAAACACCTGGGGGCACTCACCAACACTGGGTTTAATGAATTTATGCAATGGTCTTGAAATAGATGGAAAGGTAAAAAAGCGTTGCAGCTTTGCAGAAAATAGTCAGGTCCCCTCTGTTTCAATGTACTTCTAGAGCCGGTGCAGCTCTGATTAAACAACTTCTGTACCAGCCATGACACTTGCCTCTTTTGAATCACTTCAGAAATCCACTTGAAATCGGCTCTCCATCGATCCGCTGCTCCACAAGTCCGGTTGTCAAGGCGACATTTGTCACGACATAGGCGGCAACCAGAACTGTTTGTTGTTTAAGCCATTGACACAGCATCAAGTCAATGGGAATTCCAGGATCCTAAAATGGAGGTACTGTACCATATAAGGCCATATTTTCTAGGGATATTCCCTTACATAGGCCATTGATCAAGCCAGTGAGTCTGCCAAATTTCACCAATCTGGTGCACCACAGCCATAGGCTATAGGCAATTCTGGGGATTCCTATGATAAGACGATGATCATGGGATGATGGGATAGTCATGTGGATTAAAAAATATTGTGACATCTACCAACTGTTTTTTTTAATGATTATCCTATATAATGATCATGGGATAGGAATGGAATTATATGATATAAACAAATAATGATAGTGTTATAACTTTGTTTATCCCATTTATATGATATAATTTGATATAATCATGGGTTATGTAATTATCCTATAATTATAATGGGATAGTTATAACGGATCAACATAAAATCAACATAAAATGATAGGATTTTCATCACCAACTTCCAGGTGGTGCCATCGTGCCATCTCTCCACCGAGCTTCACACCTTCATAGGACAGCATGGCTTCAGCCACCCAGTGCCATTCCTTCGACACCCCGCGCACGGCCGCGAAGTCGAAGAGGAAGTTGATGCCCATCTCACCCTTCGAAGACGACAACACCAAGGGTACCATGGAATTTCGAATGCTGAAAATCTTGGGAGAAAAATGAAATTTTCAGCAGTTCAGAACGTAGTTCATCCAAGATAACAAGGATGGGATGTGGATGATAACTTAGATGTGTTTCGACAACTGGTGCCATCTCCAATGTTGGGTTCTTGGTTAGACTGTTAGACTATAATCCATTGAAATATCCGGCTGTGAAATACATGGGTTAAACGTGGGCTGTGACTGTTTTTTCATGGGGGCGAAGTATTGGAGAAATCGATCTGGGGAGATACCAAGAGTTCGCCAGCGCGCAGATTGTGTGTTTAGTAGAAGAAATGAGCGAAAGATGGGGAAAATATGGGAAAATGACCTTTACTTAGACTAATGCTAGTTTCGAAACTTTTTCCAACAAACAAAAACAGAAGAATGAACTGGCAAATTGTTGGTATTCTGGCTACATAGCGGCCAACATTCCCCACCTCTGCCAACGGCCAGCCTTGTTTGCCCCTGGCGAAGTGGAGATGGCAGGTGGGGAAAATGAAGATCAACCACTGCGGAATCTGCGGATGATATGGGATGAGTTGGTCTTGGATCTATGCTTTTGGGACCTCAAAAAACAAGCCGCTGTTTCAATGTGATCGGCCTCAAAACAAATTCCAGGGAAGGTCAATTTTGTGACTGTTGAGCTGCGGCAAACATAGAAGATGATCTCAATATATCTCAATTATCTCCCACTTGTCTCATTTCACCATCAAACACCCATTTGGGTCAGCTAGAATATTGCCAAAAAAAGAAAATTACATCCGGAACAAAAAAAAAATACGAGCAGTACACCCCCAAAATCCTATTCGTTGATCATCATTGATCTACTCAGCGGTCACATGTTCAACTCCAAAGTGGTCGGATGTAATTCTCTATGTCCTATTCATGTATGAAGATGTTCCCTAGAGGTTTCAGATTTCACCACACCTGGGTTGAACTCAGATTCCATATTCCCTCTGGTAACATGGATTGCTGCAAAATCCGCCAATACTGGAACGATTTTCTCAGCTATACAATATTGATGTAGGATGATACAGGACTTTCCAGCTTGCCATGTTTGATTACCAGAGGGTAAATCCATGAATGTCCTATAAAAGTGTCCCATTATCATCCATTTATCCCATTATTTTCCCATGAATATCCCAGTATTAGATATTGAATGATATTGATATCCTATTATTGATCTCCCATAAAAATATCCCGTTCTTATCCATGTAACCCCACGATTTTCCCAGGATCCCATGGTTTTGATCAGTTAAAACAACACCGGAATTTCATCTGGGCTTCCGCCGCAGGAGCAGTGCGGCGTCCCAAACGCAACGGTCGATGCAACGGCAGAAGGGGTTCAACCTGAATTTTCCAAAGGGCCGATCCAAGGGGGAAGTGCTTCACCTATAGTTATCATAGGTAAACCTATATACTTAAACCTATATACATTATATACTTAAACCATGTTAAACCATGTATAAACCATGTTAAACCATGTTAATAGATGTATAAACCATGTTAAACCTAAAAATTGTTCTTACTATATAGTTAAACAAATGTTAAACCTATAAATACAGTTGCTATAGGAAGCTGCAGTTGACCTATAGTTATCCAGCAACCTCATTTATAAGGGAGTAATGGAGATTATTACAGTTACTATTGGTTAACAACCTATACCATTCATCTCTTCCCCCTAATATCAAAGACCCCCCAGAAACCATGGTTCAGCAGAGGGTTTAGACATATTTAGGAGAATGTAATAGGGCTGTTTAATATTGGGGGGATGGGAGATCTACATAGATTTACATAGATTTACGGGGAAAATTCTGGAGATTACCATATTTCACCTAGACCCCTCTTGGTTGATGATTATAGTGATCTTTGTTGATTTTTGTAGGGCTGGTTAACGCGGATGATCATTAATGTGATAAACCCAATACCATAAACGTATCATTTGTTTCGCAATATTGGAGGTGATTTATAATTGGGTCCATCACATTAGACAGTGTGTGTGTGTAGATCTATGGCCAACTGGTGTTCATCATAGAAACCTCATGGAAGGCTCTGGGAACTACGGAACCCAGTCAGCGGCCCAACTGGGCAATGGATCACCAGTCAACAGACTTAGGTGAAGATCCCACCATACAAATATGTCCGCACGTACATGTATGCATGATACGTGCTTAAGATTATCAAAAAAAAGGAAAAACCCTATAGATTCCCCCAAGTAATGAATTCACCAATGGAAAAATAAAAATCACCTTCAGCAAATCTAAGGTTTAGGATGTTTATACATCTATAGCAACCTCAAAAAAATTAAGCCTTCCAGTTGTGTGTTTCCAGGATGCTAGTTGACATGATATATATTTGTTTCCCCATATGATTTTCCCCATATTTTCCAACTTTTCTACCTATGACTTGGGGTTCTCAGGACATCTCAGGACACCATGATGCACCTCAGGCCCAAAATCTGGGGAAGCCTAACTCTCCGGCGAAAGCGCTACGATCTGAGACCTGCAGACAAATCTGTGACTTCGGGGGTCCTGGGGTCAAACTACCCTCTGGTAAACAGACCAAAAACTATGGAAAATCACCATTTTTCATAGGGAAATCAAGTATTTCCATGGCCATTTTCAATAGCAAACTGTTAGTTGACCAGAGGGTACAGTCAACCCCCCCAAAAAAAGATGCCGAAAGTTGTATTTCCAAAATGGTAGTTCGATCCTGTTTCCTCCATGATTTCCAGTTTATAGATGATGCCCTCTGGTAAATGAACATCGACCCTGAGAAAATACCCTCTGGTAATTTAACCTAGCTATTGAACATTGCCATTTATCTAGTTGATTTGACCATCAAACATGGTGATTTCCCATAGCTTTTTGTATGTTTACCAGAGGGTAAGCCATGGACATCCAATGGTAACGCTGCCCAAAAACTGAGACGTTGATGAATCCTCCATGGTACCACCACTTTGACGATGACATGATAGAAATGACATGACTGATTGCTTCTGTCTATGTTTGTATATATACATATATTATTATTATTATTATCATTATTATATATTGCTGTATGTGTATGTATACATATATATATATATACATATATATATATACATATACACACACTCTGTACATACATCTGTGATGTTTATGCCCCCAAAACAGCCCGAAGCTTAAGGATCGCACCCATTGGCCCCGCCATGAACATGCCTGGATCATTTGCTTCACACAGTCCAGATTCCGCGAATCGATGGCCTCGTTTCAAACAACACGCAGCTACACAATTACTGGGGGATTCAACATAGCTATAGCTAACTAGATAGTATCTATAGCTAACTACTTAGTATATAAGCTATCTAGTTATTAACCCACATGAGCCTTCATATATGGCTATAGATGGCTCATTTCGATGATTTACCTTTTGAGCATCGTGATTTTCCATAGCAGACTGCTTAACTGGAGGGAACATCCTGACAAATCCCTAAAGCCACAGCCCAAAAAACGTGGTTTGACCAAAGATCCGAATGTTTCACCAACCTGTAACCCTCATGGCCTCTAGTGAGATATAGCTTGCTGGACATTAAAAAAACGAGCATTTTCCCACGAAAACAGCTTTTTTAGTAAAGGAAAATCAGCGGCTTGCCACGGTTTGATTACGTATACTATGATTCTCCCACTAGTCGCCTATGATCCCATTCATATGCCATCCTTGTCCTACGAAAACCTTTTTTGTTCGACAAAAAAAAAACAGCGAGCCCAGCGACGTAGTGAAGGGGCATGAAGCCAAAGTCATCTTGCAAACCTGATGAAAATGGGGGCCCTGTTGATCGGTTGATCCATGTTGATCCATGTTGATAGGTCGATCCTTAGCCTCTGGTAATGTAACACTTTGCTATGGGAAATGGTTCATGTACAGATTCGTGAGTTTTCAAAAATAGTGACTTTCCAGTTCACTATGTTGAATTACCAGAGGGCAAACATGTTTTTAAGGGGATTTTTTTTTTTGATAAAGCATGAAATTGACGTATCAACATCAACCAACCAACCAACCATCAAGCGCTTGGTGATTTTTGGGAGATGATTAACCACATGTTCAGACACATCCATATGTGATGTGCATTATGTTTAGGGTTCCACCAAATCAGCTTCCCCATCGAAATATCCAAAAACCTTCGGATAAAGCATATTGAGAGATGGTAAATTTAGGGGAACTGGAAAATCACCATGTTTAAGAACAGTGATTCATCATGATAAATCATCTATATTTGTATATATTGGCCATGTGTCATCATTTGTCCATAGCTATTCTCTACTCTAATCGATGCACCGCCTTCGAAACCCAAAAACGACGGAGCCGCAAAGTCATCTTTTGACGTCCCTTTCACCTGACATCCTTCATGCAGCATCCCAAGTGGTTACACGACTGGACTTTGAACCACTTGAAACCCAAAGATGATGGTGATGGAAAATATATGAAAATATGAAACTTCGAAGTTGATCATTCTCCAGTACCTGAGGTGGAAAATGGACGAACGAAATTAGAGGCCTCATTTTCCAACAAAAAGCCAAATAGGGGGTCCCGAAGGTCACGTCACGTCGGGCGTTGATGCAAATGTTCCCACCCCATCTCCAACTGCCGGCTGCCAAGGGACCTGGGTCTGCGTTATTCTCCAGTAACCTCGCAGGTTTTTCCTCTTGGAGTCCCGGAAACCCATGGCTTTTCCCCATGAAACGACTACCCGGCCTGGTCAACTAACAGTTTGCGAACTTGAAAATGGCCATTGAAATAGTGGATTTACCCATCAAAAATTGTGATTTTCCATAGTTAATGTTAGTTTACCAGAGGGTAGTCGTTTCCGGTTTCAATTTTCTCTTGAACCAATCCAGAGGACGATGGCAATTTAAACCTCTCTGATCATTTCACAGTTCGATTTTTGGCATGGTTTCTTGTTGGCCCATAGCTGTATTTTAGCTATAGATGATGCCCTTCTTTTCTAGAAATGGTGATGTTCAATTCAACAGCTAGTATGTTAAATTTACCAGAGGGTAACCTTTCTGAAGAATAGTAAACATACAATATATATATATATAGGGATCATGATACCAGAAAGGGTGAACTTGGCTTTGCCCAAAACTTCCCACTGAGGACATGGTTGCTGCTGCCCCCTAGATTTGGTGCTGAGTACCAGACAGCTCAACCCCGCGGGAGCTGCCGAGAGCACAAGCCTCGGCCAACACTTCGAGCGGAGCTGGCTACGGTGTAGACCCCGGTGGGGAAAAACGGGAGCCACCATAGAATCCACGGGTGGCTGAGCAATACCTGGTCACCTGGGCCCAAAGATGGATTCTTTTCCATGTTGGCTTCTTTTTACGATCAAGCACGGGTTTGGGCCACCTTGCTGGGCCCCATCTAAGTCTGGTTGCTTCGACAATTCCCCTTGGGCCCGTGCTTTGTTTGCCCTATCCCCAATAAATCCCTTGGGACCATGCAGCTTACCCAGCCGCCCTCAGCTTCCCTGCCACATGCAATCCACTGCGGCCACTGTTGTCCACCTCAGCTGGTGAAACTTGGGGGCTTAACTGGCTGGGTTTACCTCTCCAATGGCCATGGCCCACTGAAAGAAACTGAAAGGAACTGAAAAGAAGAGATCTTGAAAAACAAAAACATGACAGTTTGTGGAGGAAGCACAAGATAGCACAAGTGGACAAACTGCAGGGCTATGATTCTTTTCCACTTCGAGATCGCATGAAGTGAGTCAAGTGGGATAGTGTACATCAAGCTGAGCCTCCAAAGACTAGTTGTGCTCCAATCCCCCAAGGTGCCACTAGCCTCCTTTGACTACAGCGCCATGGCCTAAAGAACGGCCTCAAATCTGGGATTTCAGAGCCGCAACGACGCTTGCCTTCACGACAGTCTTGGCAGGCTGCGCCTTCACCATCACCTCCTTGCCGAACATCAACCTCTTGCCAGCCTTGGTTGCTGGCTTCTGGCGAGTCTTGATCATGCACAGTCCTGGAAGAGTGAACTTGCCAGACTTCTTCACCTCCTCGGTGCCAATCTCGGTCAGACTGTTCAAGATCTTGGCGATGTCAGATTTCTTCATCTCCGTGGCGTCAGCCAACGAACCCATGAGGCCTCCCTTGGTCATGGCCTTCTGACCCTTCATGGCTTTCATGGCAACCTTCTTTGCCTTCATCGCTTTCATTGCAGGGGCCATGATGTCGGAAGAATGGGAGAGAACTGTCGGAATCGAATGCAGCTTGGGCCCAGATCAACTGCATCAACTGCGAAACTCAAACTCTAGCCACCTGCCAGCTTTTGACTGACGTTCGTAAGATAAAGAGTGACCTTCTCACTCTATTCAGCCATCTTCAGCGCAAGCAACATGGACTTTGTTCTACAAGCATCTGAAAAAGAATCCTTGCAATAACATTCTGGTTGGCAAGATTGATGTCTAGGGAAACGAAGACAGAAACATTGTCCGGAACTCTGACTTGCACACCTCTTCTTGAACTTGCATAGACTCATATGCGATAATATACAAGTAGATCAAGTAGTATATACGTTTCTGATATTTTCTGATATCAATGTGTGATTTGAACATAGAAAAGGTCGGACGTGGACAAGCTGCAGGGCAATCATTGCGGCAATGATTCTTTTCCACTTCGAGATCGCATGAAGTGAGTCAAGTGGGATAGTGTACATCAAGCTGAGCCTCCAAAGACTAGTTGTGCTCCAATCCCCCAAGGTGCCACTAGCCTCCTTTGACTACAGCGCCATGGCCTAAAGAACGGCCTCAAATCTGGGATTTCAGAGCCGCAACGACGCTTGCCTTCACGACAGTCTTGGCAGGCTGCGCCTTCACCATCACCTCCTTGCCGAACATCAACCTCTTGCCAGCCTTGGTTGCTGGCTTCTGGCGAGTCTTGATCATGCACAGTCCTGGAAGAGTGAACTTGCCAGACTTCTTCACCTCCTCGGTGCCAATCTCGGTCAGACTGTTCAAGATCTTGGCGATGTCAGATTTCTTCATCTCCGTGGCGTCAGCCAACGAACCCATGAGGCCTCCCTTGGTCATGGCCTTCTGACCCTTCATGGCTTTCATGGCAACCTTCTTTGCCTTCATCGCTTTCATTGCAGGGGCCATGATGTCGGAAGAAAGGGAGAGAACTGTCGGAATCGAATGCAGCTTGAGCCCAGATCAACTGCATCAACTGCGAAACTCAAACTCTAGCCACCTGCCAGCTTTTGACTGACGTTCGTAAGATAAAGAGTGACCTTCTCACTCTATTCAGCCATCTTCAGCGCAAGCAACATGGACTTTGTTCTACAAGCATCTGAAAAAGAATCCTTGCAATAACATTCTGGTTGGCAAGATTGATGTCTAGGGAAACGAAGACAGAAACATTGTCCGGAACTCTGACTTGCACACCTCTTCTTGAACTTGCATAGACTCATATGCGATAATATACAAGTAGATCAAGTAGTATATACGTTTCTGATATTTTCTGATATCAATGTGTGATTTGAACATAGAAAAGGTCGGACGTGGACAAGCTGCAGGGCAATCATTGCGGCAATGATTCTTTTCCACTTCGAGATCGCATGAAGTGAGTCAAGTGGGATAGTGTACATCAAGCTGAGCCTCCAAAGACTAGTTGTGCTCCAATCCCCCAAGGTGCCACTAGCCTCCTTTGACTACAGCGCCATGGCCTAAAGAACGGCCTCAAATCTGGGATTTCAGAGCCGCAACGACGCTTGCCTTCACGACAGTCTTGGCAGGCTGCGCCTTCACCATCACCTCCTTGCCGAACATCAACCTCTTGCCAGCCTTGGTTGCTGGCTTCTGGCGAGTCTTGATCATGCACAGTCCTGGAAGAGTGAACTTGCCAGACTTCTTCACCTCCTCGGTGCCAATCTCGGTCAGACTGTTCAAGATCTTGGCGATGTCAGATTTCTTCATCTCCGTGGCGTCAGCCAACGAACCCATGAGGCCTCCCTTGGTCATGGCCTTCTGACCCTTCATGGCTTTCATGGCAACCTTCTTTGCCTTCATCGCTTTCATTGCAGGGGCCATGATGTCGGAAGAAAGGGAGAGAACTGTCGGAATCGAATGCAGCTTGAGCCCAGATCAACTGCATCAACTGCGAAACTCAAACTCTAGCCACCTGCCAGCTTTTGACTGACGTTCGTAAGATAAAGAGTGACCTTCTCACTCTATTCAGCCATCTTCAGCGCAAGCAACATGGACTTTGTTCTACAAGCATCTGAAAAAGAATCCTTGCAATAACATTCTGGTTGGCAAGATTGATGTCTAGGGAAACGAAGAGAGAAACATTGTCCGGAACTCTGACTTGCACACCTCTTCTTGAACTTGCATAGACTCGTATGCGATAATATACAAGTAGTACATTATATATATATATTATGTATATACGTGTCTGATATTTTCTGATATCAATGTGTGATTTGAACATAGAAAAGGTCGGACGTGGACAAGCTGCAGGGCAATCATTGCGGCAATGATTCTTTTCCACTTCGAGATCGCATGAAGTGAGTCAAGTGGGATAGTGTACATCAAGCTGAGCCTCCAAAGACTAGTTGTGCTCCAATCCCCCAAGGTGCCACTAGCCTCCTTTGACTACAGCGCCATGGCCTAAAGAACGGCCTCAAATCTGGGATTTCAGAGCCGCAACGACGCTTGCCTTCACGACAGTCTTGGCAGGCTGCGCCTTCACCATCACCTCCTTGCCGAACATCAACCTCTTGCCAGCCTTGGTTGCTGGCTTCTGGCGAGTCTTGATCATGCACAGTCCTGGAAGAGTGAACTTGCCAGACTTCTTCACCTCCTCGGTGCCAATCTCGGTCAGACTGTTCAAGATCTTGGCGATGTCAGATTTCTTCATCTCCGTGGCGTCAGCCAACGAACCCATGAGGCCTCCCTTGGTCATGGCCTTCTGACCCTTCATGGCTTTCATGGCAACCTTCTTTGCCTTCATCGCTTTCATTGCAGGGGCCATGATGTCGGAAGAAAGGGAGAGAACTGTCGGAATCGAATGCAGCTTGAGCCCAGATCAACTGCATCAACTGCGACACTCAATGATGATCACCACAGAGCATCGCTTTGGTATGGTCCTTCATTATCAAACCTCCTAGTGGATGGTTTATGTCCTTTTTTTAGGTCCAAGTGTTTCCGCCAAATAAAACGCCCCGCCGCCTGAGGAATGAGGTTCACCTGCTGATCCAACAGGAGCCTCAGAAAAGGAGTGGCTGATCGTCTGGTGGTGGTGCTGGGAATCTGGTGATTCGAAAGTGCCCCAAAGCCCCAGGATCCTCCAGGATCCACCAGGGTTTCGCCGTGTTTTTTTGTTGGAGGCTTCCGAGTCTTCCGAAATAGAACCATTGAACGGACCTGATTTTCTCCTCTTCTCATCTTTACTTCATCTGGTTTGACGGAAACTGGAGTTCATGGTAGCAAGGGCTTAGTAAAGCAATCGACTCGACTTGTCAGACTTGTCTCTAAGATATCCTCTTGTAGTCGATGGGGAATTGCCAATTGCCACGTTTGATTACGCTATGTCGAGGGTATGTCACATGTCAAGTTTCGCCGAGTTTTGCCATGTGGGATGCCCAACCCCCATGGAACGTTGAACGAGTTGAACGAGTTGAACGAGTTGAACCTGGAAATTTTCGCTTCGATCATGGGATTTTTATGGATTTTTTGATGGGTCAACTGGTCAAACTCTTGGCATCTCTTGGCAAAATCAAGATCTGGAAATCCCATCGCTTTCCTCGGAAAATCATCTACTTCAATGGCGGTTCCAGTTTTCTATGTTCGTCCACAACGGATAGTAGCGCAACAAAGTCCATCAAAAAAAAAGCGGGTGCTGAACTGAAACGGGGCTTCCACGTTACCAAATTCTTCCCAATGATCATGATTACCCTCTGGTAATTTAACATAGCTATTGAAAATGGCCATTTATAGTGTATTTTCCCATTAAAAATGGTGATTTTCCATAGCTATGTTAGTTTACCAGAGGGTATCCCAATCATCATCCAAATCATCCCTGAAATACATAATATCCCATCAGTTATGATTTGGGTTACTAATTATCCCATTGAAAAAAGTACTTATAGTAATATCTCAATAGTTCAACTGCCATCAATGATTGCTATATTACATTGTATTGCCATCAATCCTAATATCCCAATCATACGTACTAGTGCTGTTGCTATACTATACTCATATATATATATATATACAGACCATCGATTAATGGCAAGGTCGTCATGACAAATAATGCTCCGGGTATACCTCTATTCTATTCTTGTTGTCATATACCATCTATTATAACTAGCATATCCGGTGATTATATGACATTATAAGATGTTTGGTATAGTATAACTATTGCAACTATTGTAACCATCTATATCCCATTATTATAATGACCATATGACCCATCATCAATAATCATGTCATATATCCCAATATAGCTATAGCATCATATGTTATCAATATTATAATATAACATAATATAACATATGCTATATGGTCAAGTGGGATAGTGTATTGATATGTCCAATGCTATATATTGATATGTTATAGTATAACATTATAACATATAAGTGGTATAATATTATAACATAATATATTGATATATCCCAATGCTTATGGTCATGTCATATCCCACATCATCAAACTGCGTGCCAGCTGCTGGAGGCACTGCAAAGAGTTCTCCGCCTGGTCCAGGGCACGGCCAAGGTCGGGTCCGCTGCAAGTGGAGAAACCAAAGTGTGGTGAAAAAATGTGAAAAATTGGAGATTCATGAGCAAAAACATCTATAATGGATTATAATTTAGTGGTTTTGACTTGTGTATAATGACACATCTAGTTGTTTTTCATGATCTAGTTGTATGTCAATCCTGATAAGTATTGATAAGTTGTCTGGTGAAAAACCTCTATTTTTGTGGCGACTTGACCTGCGGATTTCACAGGGGCTTGATGAACATTGATGAACAGGGGGGGATCCTCATGAATAAACATCTCATAACATATGATGCTATAGTTATATTGGGATATATGGTGATATATGACATAATGATGCTAATTGATGCTATAGTTATATTGGGATATATGACATGACCCATCATAATATGGTATATTAGTATATTCCACGAAAAAAAAACACAACGTTAGGAGGCTCCGCCCGCGAGGAATCGTGATTGGCGTGCCTCTGAAATCCCCAGCGTAGGTGGAGGGTGGGACATTGGTTTGGGGAGGGTCCCATGTTGGGTTAGTATGATCGGCGGACTTGGATGTCCCAAAAAAGAAACAAAAACCAACTTCTGAAGTGTACAATCAACTCCTCTGAATAGTTCAACTGAATTCTCCGATTGGGTCTTAGTAAAATCCCCATATCTGTCGATGAAATCCCCAACCTGCTCGGATCTTGAACCGGAGAGGGCCAAGTGGATGCAGGGAATAAGGTCCTGCGGAATGCTTGCGCAGTGGCCCATATCTTTGGAATATACCTGGTACCCTCTGGTAAACGTTTGCATAGCTAGGGAAAATCACCATTTTAAATGGGTAAATCAACTATATATAAATGGCTTTTTTCAATAGCTATGTTAGTTTACCAGAGGGTAATTCAAGAGTTTGCTATCGACAATCTCCATTTTCCATAGGTAAAAATCATCGAACAAGTTTTTCAAATGGGCTATTTTCCATGGCGAACTGTGATTTGTTTTCGGAGGGTAATGACAATGATTTGAGTGGATGAGGCACCAAAAAAAAATCGCAGAATGAGTTGAGAATTGGGAATATCATCCCAAACGATTGAACATCAGAAAAAGATTTGGAACCACCAAGGACTGTGCAATGGATGCAATGGTGATGGATATGGAAAATATATATATACCCTCTGGTTATTTAACGTAGCCATGGAAAATGGCCCATTTATAGATGGTTTACCTATTAAAAATGGTGATTTTCCACGGCTATGTTAAATAACCAGAGGGTATATATATATATATCACCAGCAGTATGTTGAAATCGTCGACCCAAGGTGGCACAAGATAAACTCGAGATTTTTCCGACCCCCTGAGCATGGCTCAAGTATTGTTTTTGGTTTGGAGACATGGGACCAGCCAAAACAAAAACGGCCACAGGAGATACAACCCCGGACTTGTGACAAAGGATGTGGCAAAGTGCTGGGGATCCAGAACAATGCAGCCCTAATTTGTCGTTGTTTTCTTGTGTATACATTGTATACTCCTTACTTGCATTTACTTGGGATGACTCATAATATGGATAAAGTACCCCCAAATCTTTGACCAGGGTAGATCCCAAATGATTTTTGGTGCCTTGGCTATGACATCCCAGAATCGCTGGTAACACCTTTCAGTTGCGAAGAGTCTTGGAAGCAAACATCTTGGTATGTCCAGGGCATCGAAACCTATGAAAATTGATACCTGCAATGTGTACCCTCTGGTAAACTAACATAACTATGGAAAATCACCATTTTTAATGGGAAAACTCACTATTTCTATGGCCATTTTCAATAGCTATGTTAGTTTACCAGAGGATATCCATTTTTTGCTGTAGCCAACAGGCTTTTACAAAAGATGGGGATGGCAATGGATGGCAGAAAATAACATCAAAACGTTTGGGTAACTCGAGGTCTCTCAAAATTTCTCCTTCCCCACCGTCCACTTAGGCTGCCCATCTGGTTACTGGCTGCTTTAACAGACTTCACTATCTGCCTGTCCAAAAAAATGGTACCTCAAAAAATCTCTCAATGGTGTATCATTTTCCCCATCAAAGCGGCATTTTGGGGGAAGTATCCCAGTATCCTCCATTTGAAAAAATCCATACGAGTTCTGATCAAAAAAAGGTCCTTGTCAGAGTCTCCACTGGCCTTGCAGTCATTCAGAATGGGACAAATCACCAACAACATACTGGGAAGAATATTGATCTAATGATGAAAATAGATGAAAATAGGGACTCTTCCCTGCGAAACAGTGACTCTGTTAGTTGATTTTGCTGGGTGTTCTATACAAATTTTCTATGTTTCCCTGTAGAAATCCGAGGACTTTTGTCCAGCATCAAGCCAGCACATCGACAGTTCTTCAACGGCAGTCTGTTCAACAATCACTAAGTTAAGTGGGGAAAGAAGAATATAATGTGGTTAAAACAATAATAAACCACCCACTTGGGAATGGTAACCATACCACCCATAAAAATGGGGATGACTGGGGGATGGTAAACATGGCATGGTCTGAACCACATTACAACCTTTGGTACAGTAGCTCCCCAAATCTTGCGGGAGACAGCTTCCCAAAATGCGACTGATCATAACTGGGGGTACTCAGCGGACGAACTGGTTACTCTCTGGTAATTTGTTACATAGCTATGGAAGCCATGGCCCATTGATAGATGGTTTACCTATTTAAAATGGGTGGATCTTTCTATAGCTATGTTAAATTACCAGAGGGTAACTGGGATGAAACTGGAAAGAGTTTCCAAAAACAGCAGACAGTATATGAAGGTCAACTAGTACATCTAGTGCGGGGATCTTCCCAAATCATCGCTGTGCTATCCAAATGATGTTCCCAATGATGGCACCATATTTTTGGCCACCTCAACCCCTAGAAAGGCTGGAAACTGTTAAGGTTTTTTGTGTCAGCAAATATCTTGACATATCTGACATATCTTTACTCAAGTCAGGAATCGGAGAATCGGAAAGCTGGCCACATGATGTTCCTGGCAGTGTTCAGATCAAATCCCTGGTATGACATGTCTCATGAGAAATTCTGCTTCCCACGATATCCCAGTCTCATTTGTTGGCTGTTGTAGATCTATAGCCTACAGCTATATAAATTCATACACATAGTGTTTTAACAAGAAAACACCAAAAAAATCGTTTACCATTGTCATCATTAGTATTGAATTATTACTATTTACTATTACTGGCCTATGCATGGTTTGTATCCCTAGGTTTAGTGCTTGAAAAACCCACACACAAAGAACACGCCTCAAAGGGTTTGGCCAACACATCGAGCACGTTTCTGGTGTCCTGCGGACCCGCGAGCCACGACTCAGGGACTCTTGGATTATACCGTACCTGATTTGCATGATATATATACATATACTATTATTATATTATATTATATTATATTATATATATGTTATTATATTATATCATATCATATTATATTATATTATATTATATTATATTATATATATCATATCATATATATTATATCATATTATATAATGTTATGTTATATTATATATTATGTTATATTATATTATATTATGTTATATTATATGTATATATTTTTTAATATTTAAATATTTAGATATATATATATATATATATTCATCTATTTATTTGTTATATTATATTATATCATATCATATTATATTATATTATATTATATTATACATATTATATCAATTTATATGTATACTCATATATAGATAGTGAGTTATGTACCAATCATCAATATGGGGGAATGGAAAAAGCCACGAGCATCTCCTGGGGACGAAGCCCAAATTTTTCACGGGTGAATTTCGATGGGAATTTCAATGGATTTAATGAACAAAGATGTTGGATATTTATCTGGTGATATTCCATCTGGTGATATGTATTCATGGAAAAATTCCTTAGTAATTATTCATCTCAATTCATCGAAGTTCCACATCTTTGGTGATTTTTCACTGGTGAGTTTTCCACATCTGTGATGATCAAATTCCCTTTGATGTCCAGGTCGGGCTCTGAAACTGTCCTCCAAAGTGAGGATAGCTCGAACGATGTCAGGGCCTTGCCATCTCGTTGAAAACTTCTCGGTATGATGCAAAAAGCCTATGACCTCTGATGAAAAATTGTTGGGGGTGATGAACACCCTTCATCATAATAATAATAATAATCATAATCATCATCATCATGATCAATCCCATCACCCTACTACTAAGTACCTCCTCAGAACCCCTTTTTTGTCTAGTATCGGATCTATTCATTTTCCAGGACAATATGGGAGATATTCATGTTTGTGGAATTGTATTATATGAATTATATGGCCTTGAATGGCACAGAGCCTCCATTTTGGGGACCTGACATGTTGACCGTATCATCTACTTTCCACGACAGATCGCCACCCCTCCCTGCAAATTGTGGCAAAACGTGGTTCCGTATCACAACCGGAATCTGGAACATCGCCGCAGCCAGATGTCTCTTCTAAAACACCTGGAAACCACAAGAAAAATCACGCGAATTCGGGAAACGTCATGATATTTACCCTCGGGTAATTTAACATAGCTATTGAAAATCACCATTTATAATGGGTAAATCAACTATTTCTATGGGCCATTTTCAAGTTCGCAAACTGTGAATGTTTACCAGAAGGTAAACTTCACCACGCCACTTTATGGTGCATGTTGCGTCCAAAAGGATCAACTTCATCAACCCCATCAACCCCATCAACACTGGGCTCAACCCGCGATGTCGCATGAGAGCCAGATGCAACATATTGCGACCCAACCTTGGCGAGTTCGCCAAACACCCCAGTCATGGTAGGTTTTAAAAAAAATCACCCAGTGGGTTTTCCATAAAAATTCGAGTTACCAATGGGTTATTCCAATCATCCTATTTTTCCATTCTTTATATGTCACTATTATGATACTATAAGCATCTATAAGCTATTTTTGTTATATGATACCATAACCCAATAACTTCCATAGCCCTATGATTGATCATCCTATTGTGGCTTCCCAAACACCGGCAGGTTTCCCTGACGTGTCGTGCTTGCGCAATTGCCAAGGCCTGCGAATCAGCGTGGTGGGGAGAATCTGGAAAAAGCTTTGGGGGAATGTGTTTCTGAAAACAGTGTACCCCCAAATCCTTTGGAAAAATCATCGTCCTTATCAAAATAGCCATGACTGGGGGTATACTCCATTTTCCAGACACACCCATATGTTTGATTTATTTCTACACTTTTGGAGGGAAGAAACTGAAACATGTTCATACACGTTCTCTATACACAACAGCTTTTAGGAAGTGGAAAATGTGAAGGTGCTTTCAATTGCTTCCACATACTGAACTTGGATTTAGCAATGTATAGAGAAACTGCCAATAGATTTATCCGCTGAGCACGAAACTTTGCTTGAACAGCGAGGGAGCTATAGCAAAAAAAACTATCTTGTCAGCAACAGCATAATGTCCATGGACTTGGCAAACAGCAAAGATGACTGGATCTGGTTGGAATCCCAAGCACCATACATCCAAGACACTCCACAGGCACTTTTGCCATAGACCTAATGCAAGAGTCCTTCTCCAAAATGAGCTTCCCACATAGAGGGAATCAGATGACAATGACAAGCCTGGCATGGCTCAAGCTCAGGGCCTACCAAGCCACCGCGCCCTCGCCTGGCCAAGGTTGACCACAGCTTCCTTACCGGTTCTCGTTGCATTACTTGAATGTCAAGCGCGTTGACATCATCGTACCGGTTTTTGCCGTCAACAAATTCACCCCACATAAGGCCCACACGCCCATAACACCGACTGTAAAGCCAGCAATTCCAGCAGCCGTGAAAGCTGCCATGCCTGCGAGGTGTCTTGCAACGGTGCCCTTTCCTTCATCCCCGAGTAACATAGCCTTGATGCCATAACGGGCCCACACTGCAAAATGTTGACAGTTGTTCCGCAACACATCGTAACCCCCAAAGTGGCTGCTTACCTTGCTTAGCGCACGGCGTTTGGTCTCGGGACCACTGTAGGGCTGACCATACCGTTGCGAAAACATCTCAAACGCATACCATTCAGTTGAAGGATCCATTGGAGTGATCCAAATGTTTTGGCCACCTTTTCCGCTCTTCACTTTCCCAACTCTGGAGGATTGGGGTGAACCACTGAAGCGGGTGGGGCCACTGTATTCGATCACATAGTGCATGTCTGGTTGCAAATTGGAACAACCAGTTGCATGTTCCAATTCTGCACAGCCAGGACCTAAATAGATTCCAGTGTGCATGAAATTTGCAGGAACGTTCAACTCATACCCCACCAAGGCCCCAACCATCAAAGGAGACCCCTTGGCCATTGGCGCTGCTGCTACTTGAATCCTGCACCTTCGCTGCGGGGAAACGGGATGCCCTACGAAGACATTGCGCATCTGCCAAACATGGAGGATCACCAGAAGTGCGAAGAATCCAAGTGGCAGCCGGGAAGACATGGCAATGTCTGTACAATCGATGGGTTTGACGGTTCACCTTCAACCAAAATGGCCAGACAGTCTCGCGAAACGACCAAGCTGGACATCTCCAAAGTCAGGAACTTTGACAAGGTCTCCGGTAGGTCATGCAGGGCTCCATGTCAATGGTGACCCCTCAAAATAACTTCAAAATAACCCTCCAATCATGGATTGTTGAAGTTTACCCTCTGGTAAACATTCACAGTTTGCGAACTTGAAAATGGCCCATTTCTAGTTGACTGGGCCCAAGTGGATCGATCCAAAGCCGCCTGGAGAATGGATTGGGATCATTCCCAATCTGGATCTGATCCCCATATCAAGCAACCATGCTATCTCAATTGTATTCTGGTTGGTGGTTTAAACCCTAGCCCTCTGAAAAAATGATGGACTTAAAGTCAGTTGGGATGATGAAATTCCATTCCCAATATGATGGGAAAGTCATAAAATTCATGTTCCAAAGCACCAAGCAGTATTCAATGAGATCTCCATATGTTGATGCTTAGAAACCCATTAAAATACCATTGATCATTAAGGGTTTTAGATGTTTTAGCAGCCACTGATTGATTGAAGCCTTTTCTCGCCGCTGTCTCATTGGCTGAGGTGGGTTTTTGGGGCTCACCGCCGCCGATCCTTTGATGACACACGGTCCCTGACAAAAAAAAAAGATAGGGACCTCTTCAATCACTTTGACCAGAATTTGTTTGGCCATTTTTTGGGAGATACGTCAGATACGTGACAAATTGAAGATGATCGAAGTTGGGTACAACATAGACCATGGGATTTTGTGTAATGATCATTCCCAAGCCTGACTCGAGGTCAAGCAAGCCGGTTTGGGGCAACGCAGAGCCCAAAGTTGCTCTGGCTTTGTACAAGTGAGCAGCGTCAAAAACCGGCGCGTGCTATTGAAACCCAGATGCCGAAAGGTGGTTTTGGTATATTTTGGTATAGGTCAAACTTGATAGTCACAAGTGAAATTGACCTGTTCAACAGTAAACTGTTGGGTGTCCAATGACTCACATGTCCAAGGCCATGCTGTGCCACCCTGGACCGCGGTGATGTCCAGTTTTGTGTGGGCGATCATGATGAATAGGAATAGAATATTGATTACTTATGTTGATGAATAGAATATGTGTTATACAGTTGATAAATATCATACTGATAATAAATATCATAAGAAAGACTTATATCAACCGTATAAAACAAGGCAGTAAGTACAATTTCATGATTTTCATGCATCAAGAATCAACAATATCTTTTGACACTGCTCGACGTCTTCACGCACCACTCTTTGCAGTGCACCGTGCGCACTCCGGCATGATGACCGGCTGTCCAAGGAAACCAAGGGAGCAGAAGCAGGCAGAAGAGCAACATACACGTTGGATGTCCCAATGTTACACAACAACCATGGGTGTACCATCTGGTTATTCAACACGGCTATGGTATAGATGGCCCATTTATAGATTATATTATATTAATGATGGTTTCCTGTTAACATGGTGATTGTCCAGTTCGGTACATTAAATAAACAGACGGTAGAGCCACTGAACATGGCAAATCTTAGTTGAAGTGTCCAAGAAATGTGCATTAGCATAGGGATTACGTCATGATGTTCTCCCATTCACGGCAAAATATCAAAAGATTAATTTTGCCAGTCATTTTTTTTGTACAATGGCCTGACAAGTAAACCTGGTTACACCGGGTCCAACAGTGAAAAAATACATGTTACCATTGAAACCGAGTTGATACCAAGCAGCATAACTCATCGCCTTCATCGCCTTCCACGCAGCCCGACCTGCCCAAATTCAATGCCTGCACCAAGACAATCAAACCTGGCAATGGCAATTATCTCTGCCACTGACACAACCGGAGATCACTTTCCCCATGGAAAAATCTCAGGATTTCCCATTGCCGTCGTCGATTTTCGGGTCTCTCAGTTGGGCACCAGCTTCACAAGCCATCCAAACACGCTTCCATGAGTTTCAGGTCCTTCAATACCTCAGCTGCATCACTGGCACCAATGCTCTAAGGTTTTTTTGTGCTCAAAGAGACATTGAAACGAAGGGTGTACCTTACATGATCGGATATAAGGGGGGGGTCACTCGGGGCCAAGAATCCGGATATGGCTTCGTGGCGCATGGGCCCCATCTTGGGAAACAGTATGATAAACCATTGGAAAGCGTGGGGCTTACCTCATTCTTGGACCACAAAACCTCACAAAATTCCAAGATCCGATCCTGAAGCTCAACCAGCTGGAAGCAGCTCTGTCATTCATGGATCAACAATTCATCAAAAATCCAAGCTATGATTGGTTAAACATGGTTAAACCATGTTAACCCATCCTAGGGATGATTCAGTTTTTGAAAAAAAAAACATTTACCATCCTGCAGGTAACATTCATTTATCAACATAGACCCTGCCAAATACATCCAGGTGAATTCAAAAAATGTGCATCCCTTTCCGGTTGCCATGCCACTCGTTGACGAACTCGCGCATGTAGGTGACTGAGGCCGCTATCAGACTTAGCTTTCAGGTGGAGTGGTACTGAGTGGTACCTACCATGACTGGGGACCACCCATAAAAATGAAGATTTTGGGAATGGTGTATTATTGGGTTTACCACATTACCCACTATATAATTCCAATACTGCCATAAATTGAAAGAATACCCTCAAAACCCAGCACCCAAATGGCATCACAACTGACAATTCTTCGTTTCGAGGACATGAACATCTGACAAAGCATTGCACGCAAATTCGTTTGGGTACTTCCCATCATCTGTTCTGCACCTGTTCCGATGTGTGTCGGTGTTGGTGTCAATTATTGTGGCATACCAAGCACATGAGCTGTAGCGAAGATGTTTTGCAATCCTCCGGGTAGCACTATCTTGGAAACGGTTGTCACTTGAATCAGGGTGAAAATCCTTATCTCCTGGGTGTCATCCTCAACCAGTGGATCATCACGGCGCCAAGGCATGCCAAGGCTCTGTATCGGAGATGCTGCGCTTGTAGGGTCTCAAGGAGCGCACCGTGGAAGACACGTTCTCCGGGGAGAGATTCCTGGGTTTTTTTCATGTCTGAAGACCGGTCTGCAGCAAACTGGTTGGTCTTTTGAAAACCACGGCAGATGGCCGCGGTTGGAGGTTTGCTACCTGTGTTCGACAGGGTAACAGTGACACCAGACACCACCAGGGTGACGACCATTGGACCAATTGGGTTGCTACACTGCAATCCCCATGGTCATTGGGTGAATATCCTCCTGTTTGGAAAGATCAAAATCCCAAGTTGAAACAATCCACCAGTTTTCTGCCGAGCCGACTGAGCCAAGTGTCTTCAAGATTTTGCTGCTCACTGGCTGCATCATACCTCACAAACTCAGCATCCACATGCCATGTGGATTCAGAAGTGTTCAACAACCTTGCAACAAAGAAAGCCACTAGATAAGCTCACCCTGAGCACCAAGATCCAGCGTTTCAGTATGTGGGGGATAGGTCAAAACCTATCATTACCATATGGCTATGCCCAGCTACAACTTGGGGTACCATCCGGTTTCCCCCCGGGTTTTGATTCATAATCCCTTCTCCCTTTCATATCAAACACCCCCAATTCCGAAACCTTGTTTTAGTAGGGAAAATCCACATGTTTTTGGGACCATATAATGTGGCTGTTCAATATGAACGGGGGATGGGAAAAAACTCTGTTTGATTCTATACTCATTCAGCTTGCTTCGATGTGCATCCCACGGCTGGATCCCTGGATTATAACCCATAAGCCATGTTACCCGGCCTGGTAAACTAACAGTTTGCTATTGAAAATTGCTATAAATTAGGTGATTTACCCAGCTACATAGCATGGTGATTTTCCAGTTCGTTTTTTGTAAACGTTTACCAGAGGCTAGTCATCCCATATATGGACCATGACGATCAGACGATCCACCTGTGATGTCGTACTTGTGCGCAAAACCTAGAGATTCGATGTCCACATCATCAGCCACTTCACCTGCCGATTCGACTGGTGCGTTTTACGTAGGGTTGCTGGATGGGTTGCTGGGGGTTGCTGGGATTATTATTGATAGTTAGCCAGTGGATCATTCCCTCATTCCCTACTAAGCACAAGTAAGTAGACAACATAAGAATGCTGGAAATATCCAATGGTAATCCGCCGACCCCGGCCTTCGCCAAGGCCGGGGCGGCGCCTGGGACCACCGCAGGTGTGGACCTTGTCCTCTTCCAAACCCTCCAAACCTTTACCCTTAAGCAGCTTCCCCAACAGGCACCCCAGGGCCAGGGCCACAGCAATGACTTTCTATGAGTTTTCAAAGCTGCCGTTTGCCAGCGCGCAAAGGCTCCAAACGCCTCCAAAATTCCAAACCCCCAGGGCCAGGGCCACAGCAATGAGACTTTTTATGAATTTCAAAGCTGCCGTTTGCTAGCCCGCAAAGGCTCCAAACTTTCCAAAACAAAATTCCAAACCCGCCAAACCCTCCAAACACCGTCCCCAGCAGGCACCTCAGATCCACAGCAATGACTTTCTTGATGCTTTCAAAGCTGCCTTAACAGAGGCCAGGGCCACAGCAATGACTTTCTATGGGCCTCAAAGCTGCAGTTTGCCAGCCTGCAAAGGATCCAAACTTCCAAAATTCCAAACACCTTCCCCAACATGCACCCTAGGGCCAAGGCCACTTCCCCAACAGGCACCCCAGGGCCAGGCCACAGCAATGGCTTTCTATGGGCTTTCAAAGCTGCCGTTTGCCAGCCCGCAAACCCTCCAAAACTCTCCAAACGCTCCAAACGCTCCAAACCCTCCAAAACCCGCCAAACCCTCCAAACACCGTCCCCAGCAGGCACCTCAGATCCACAGCAATGACTTTCTATGGGCCTCAAAGCTGCCGTTTGCCAGCCTGCAAAGGATCCAAACTTCCAAAATTCCAAACACCTTCCCCAACATGCACCCTAGGGCCAAGGCAACTTCCCCAACAGGCACCCCA